GTTGACTTCGAAGGATCCTATCGGACGTCTGAAGGATGCGTCCGAAGTTGTGCAATGATTATCGAACGTCCGGTACTGTCATCACAAACGTCCGATAGCTTTCAGTAACCTTTGTCTTTTTTCAATTGCACTTGTTCATGGAATCAAATAATTTCATAACTGAAAGTATATCTTGAAGAAATATTAGTATTATCCATTGTTTTGTAAAAATCAAAAGTTAGGAACCAAGATCAATAGCAATAGTTTAAATAATAAAGGAATTCGAAAACCATTGATAATTGATAATCTTTCCTGTGGGATCGACACCTAATATCCCTATATTCGATAAATGATCTGTATATTTGCAGAAAATGGAGTATTTAGATTTTATTAAAATTTGGTGCATGGTAGATTCTTGTCACTTCTTATTAGTTTCTTATATTATTTTTGTTTTTCTTGTTAGTTTTTAACTAATTTTCTTCTCTTTTCTTAAAATTTGTTTCCTAAATTACCCTTTGAATAAAGTTCCTTACCTACGACCTTGTTTAGCTAATTAATGTATTACGATCTAACAAAAAGTAGGAGCAATTCCTACCCAAGTAAAGATTTTCTCAGTCATTATCTTTATTAATACTATTATACATGAATTATTTCTTAATTCTTTATCAGCATGTTCAAATATTTAAAGTCTCTTTTTCCTCTATTTGTCTCAGGTATGGATACTTTTGGACATAAAATTGACTTGGAGGCATTTAAAAATTTATGTGTAATTTCAGTATAAAAGTATTTAAACACAAGTAGAAGAAACTTTAGACAAGTTTTTGATGTTAGATTATAACAAATTAATGCAACATAAAATCATAGATATCAAGATGAGGAAAATATTTTATTGATGAACAAAATTTACATCAACTAGAATACTTACTTGGTTGATGAGCTTTGTACTATCTTTGGATTGATGAACTTTGTACAATGGTTGAAGACCTTGAATATGCTAATTGATGGTTCTAATATGAAAGTAATTTTCTAGTTAATAATCCAAAAGTAGTTTGGATTATTACCTGAAATTTATTCTTGCAATTGCCATCTTCAGAGTAGATGCTTGACTTTGGAGATAGACGCGAGTTTTTCTTTCTCTCCAGGCCTTTTTTTAAATTTCTGCTGCAGATACCTCATTTTATAGTTGTTAGGACTTTTGTTCCTTTGTTAAATTATTGCTACTACAGGGTTTTTTTGATGGACATCAAATCTACTAATTATTCTCTAACTCATCTTGATAGGTATCCATTGCTTTTAGTAGTGGGTTGAGTTATCCTAAATTCGTGATAGGACTTGGCAGTTGGCAGGGTATATGATGAAAGTGCTTTAATGCTATTGGTGCGGTGGCTTGACATGACATCTTATCTTGACCGTCCCTTTTGGTATGTTTGATTGTGACCTATTTTCCATTTGCTTTGGCCGACAAAGCAATTGACCATCTAATATAAAAAATTTTGCATACAAATAAAAGAATCATTAAATTTAGGAGTAATAAGACCCAGCAACAGCACACATCATAGCACAACATTCATGGTAAGAAATCATGCTGAAATTAAAAGAGAAAAAGCTAGAATGGTAATAAATTATAAAATATTTAATGATAATACTTATGAAAATCAGTACAAAATACCAGAGAAAGACCAATTAATAAATTGCATTCAAGAAACAAATATATACAGTGTTTAGTAAAGGATCAGAATTTATTCAGGGCATTTGTCAACCAACACAGCATCATATCATACTGGATAAACATCGAGTTAGACCAATGATATCTTTTGAGAATTATTCATGGGAATGCAAAAATCTTACAATGAGGGAGCAAACCAATCATTGGATAGCAAAGCAAATCACATATGATAGATTTGAAGAAAATGAAACCCGATTAAATTGGCCACCACTTATTTTAGAAGATGATTACCGGAAAATTTATTACGGATGGAAACTTCTAGAGGTGGAATTATACACAAGGGAAATTTCTTAGAAATCCAAGATCCATACATGAATGAAGAAGATGGATTAGAAAACATCATGGGTGATGAAGGAATGCATAATGTATAAAATGTGTTAGAATATTAGAAGCAGAGAGAGAGAGAGAGAGAGAGAGAGAGAGAGAGAGAGAGAGAGAGGAGATTAAAATAATTCACCAATCAATTAGAATATTAGATGGTCAGTCACTTTGTCGGGCAAAACAAATGCAAAACAGGTCACAATCAAACATGCAAAATGGAACGGCCGAGATAAGATATCATATCAAACCGTTGCACCCATATCTTTAAAGCACTTTCATCAGATACCATGCCAACCGCCAAGTCCTATCAGAAATTTAGGATGACTCAACCCACAACTAAAAGTATCAAATACCTATCAAGATAAGTCAGAACAATTAGCAGTTTTGATATCCATCAAGAAAACACTATAGTAGCAATAATTTAACAAAGGAATAGAAGTTCTAACAACTATAAAAGGAGGAATCTATAAAAAGATAAAAGAGGCCTGAAGAGAAAGAAAAACTCTCATCTATCTCCAAATTCAAGCATCTACTTTAAAGATGGCAATTGCAAGAACAAATTCAACAATAATCCAAACCACTATTAGATTATTAACTAGAAAATTATTTTCTTGTTCCTTCTTTTTGTTTCATATTAGAACCATCAATTAACATATTCAAAGTCTTCAACTGTTGTACAAATTTAATCAATCCAACCATTGTACAAAGTCCATCAACCAAGTAAGTATTCTAGTTGATGTAAATTTTCTTCATCAATAAAATATTTAGCCTTACCTTGATATCAATGATTGTATTAATTTGTTATAATCTAATATCAAAAATTTATCTAAAGTTTCTTCTAATTGTGTTTAAATACTTTTATACTAAAATTATAAATTAATTCTTAAAGACCTCTGAGTCAATCTTATGTCCAAAAGTACCCATGCCTGAGATAAATTGGGGAAAAGAGACTTTTAAGATTTGAATATGCCGATAAAGAATTAAGAAATAATTTAGGTATAATAGTATTAACAAGGGTAGTGACTGAGAAAATCTTTATTAGGGTAGGAATTGCCCCTACTTTGTTGTTGGATCGCAATACATTAATAATCTAAACAAGGTCGTAGGCGAGGAACTTTATTCAAAGGGTAATTTAGGAAACAAATTTTAACAAAAGACAAGAAAATTAGTTAAAAACTAGCAAGAAAAATAAAATTAATATAAGAAAGTAACCAGAAGTTTTTAATAGAACATAAACTCTAATAAATAATAGAGTATTAAAATTATCAAAGTAGGAAGAATCAATCAAAACTTGTAATCGTGAAGGGTAATCGCGCTCGATACTTGAATCGTTTACACCCTTATCTTGGACTATGAAATTTGCATACTACCAAGCAAATTTATCAATTTATAAAACTGAAAATTATCTCAATAAATCACAATTAAAGAATAATGTTGAACTATCAAGAAAGTTATCTCAATAAAAGTGGCAATCAAGTCTTGTCCTTAAGGGACTTATTTTTTTTTTTTATAAGAAATAACTGTGGAAGTCTTGGTCTACAGTTGCTAGTAGAAACTCGAATGACCCTCTTCCTCACGTTCTTCAGAACTCTTCCCTCAGTTTTTATTTTTTTATACTCTACTCCTGTTGGTTATTCTTCAATCTTTTGTAGGGTCCTCCTCAAGGTCTTCCTCAAAATCACCACTATTCAAATTTATAGGCGACCCTCCACCAAGTTCATTGTCATAATTATGGTTAGCATATGGGATATGAGGTAGAATACAATCTAAAAGTCCTATTATTGTGTTCTCCAAAATATCAATATGCTCTCTTATTTTTTGCCTTCCATCTTAGTTAGAGCTGTTAAACGAGCCGAGTCGAGCTCGAGCATAGGACAATCGAGCTCGACTCGAACCCCTAATCGAGCTAGCTCGAGCTCGCTCGATTAGTCATTCGAGCTCTACAAGGCGCTCGAACTCGACTCGACGTGTTTATAGAGAACTCGAGCTCGGGCTCGAGATCGAGTTTTGAAATCGAGCCGCCGAGCTCGAAGCTCGAGCTCGAGCTCGTGAAAAACTCGAGTCGAGCTTTTCGAGCTCGAAGCTCGAGCTCGAGCTCGCGAAAAAACTCGAGTCGAGCTTTTCGAGCTCGAAGCTCGAACTCGAGCTCGTTTACGGGAGAGCCCAGATCACAAGAAGATACACTTTCTCTGATTTATTATTTGAAGCCAAAATGACAATACAAGCCATGCCAAATGACAATACTCGTATTTCCCTGATTCAATTCAACAAACCATCAAATGGAGAAACAAAATGTCCACAGGGGGATTACAATGTCCAAACCACATCAAATTACAAGAAGTTTAAACTGCAGCAAGAAGTTAAAACTACACCAAATGACAATACAAGAAGTTAAAACTTCAGCAAACCAGGTCAGATTACCACGTCCACACCAAAATGTCCACATTACAACATGAAAAATTATATAAACAGCCACATTACGATATCAACAGCCACCAGTAATCCAAACCAGATCAGATTACCACATGTCCACACCAAAATATCCAAATCAGATCAGATTACAACATGTCCAACCCAAAATGTCCAAACCAAATCAAATTATAACATGAAAAATTACATAAACAGCCACCAAGCAACATCAACTGTCCAAACCAGATCAGATTACAAAATAAAAAATTACATAAACTGTCCCCAAGCAACATCAACGGACAACAGCCACCAAATTAGTCATTGAATGATTCAGGAAGTTCAACTTCTTCAAATGTGATTGATTCGGCCACATCAAGTGATTCCTACAGAATAAAAGTATGAAAGTTAAAAAAGTCATCAAAATTAGAAATAAGGCAACTGTAACAACAACAAAAACATCCAATCAATTACTTACACGAGACTTATTCTTTAGGCCATGGAGACTGCGGATCCAATCATTGCCGCAAAGCAACATTTGCACCGTCTCAACCGACATAGAAGCTCTTCAATCATCAATTACTCTCCCTCCAGCACTGAAGGTAGATTCTGAAGCCACAGTGGTAACAGGAACGGAGAGTATATCGGCAGCCATCCTCGACAAGATGGGAAATCTCAATCTTTCTCCTTTCCACCAACCCAAAACATCCAGATTTGCCTTTGCATCACAAGCATACCTACTTTCCTCTAAATAAACATCTAAATCTGATTTTTCTGGTGGAGCCCTATCAATTTCACTCACATGCATGTGAAACTTTTCTTTGCCAGTTAAAACGGTGGGTGCAGTCATTTTCTGTTTCTTACTAGAAGAAGTAGAACCTTCATTTTGTCTCTTTTTTACAACCTGCCTTTGTTGTTCAGAATGGGAAACAACATGACAATCAACATATTCATTGAAAAGCTCATAAAGAATGTCTCTAATCTCAGCCATGAATCTAGGAGCTGCATCCTCACCATAAATCACCGGAAAAGCATGATTAATAAGGAACATTTTGTATCTCGGATCCAAAATTGCACCAAAGATAGCAGCACATTACTTTCCCCCAATACTTATCAAATTTAGCAGACATACTTCCAGCCATAGCCCGAATATGCTCAAAAGGATCAAGAGCTTTTTCATTTAAAAGCTCTTTAATCCTATAGAGCTCCACAAGAAAAATGTTAGATGTTGGATACTCAGACCCGGAAATCATATCAGTGATTTCATGAAATATTCCTAGAAATTTGCACACTTCTTCCACTTTCATCCACTCAAAATCAGTAGGAACATAGTGAAATCCAGGGTCTATGTCTGCATATCTTGGAAAGACATCCTTGAACTCTAAACCTGAAGCTAACATCAAATAAGTGTTGTTCCACCTTGTTGGACAGTCCAAAATTAGTTTTCTAGAGGGCAACTGAAGCTGTTTTTTAATTTTGGCAAATTCAATAAGCCTAGATTCTGAATTGTTCAAGTATTTTATCCCTTCTCTAACAACATCAATCACACCACCAAGTTGACCAAGACCATCTTGCACTAAGAGATTAAGTATATGTGCACAACATCTAACATGAAAAATTTTTCCTCCAATACTTAATCTCTTTCTTAGAGAAAAATCCTCTCTAAGTCTCCTAATGCACACATCATTGTATGAAGCATTATCAACAGTCATGCTAGAAACCTTATTCTCAATCCCCAATCAATGAAGCACTTACTTAGAGCATCAGCTATAATAACTCCAGTATGAGGAGGAGGAACATTGCAAAAATTCAATACACGCTTTTGAAGCACCCAATCAGAATCAATAAAATGACCAGTCACAACCATATATTGAATTTTTTGACCAGATTTCCACAAATCAGTTGTAATACTAATCCTACCAGGACCTTTCAACAATGATTTCAGCTTCCTTTTTTCAATTGTATAAGTACTCATACAATCTTCCTTAACAGTCTGCCGATTAATCTTTTTATAAAACGGAGAAACTGCTTTCATGAATTTGTTGAAAACTACATGCTCCATCATAGAAAAGGGGTACTCATGTGCAAGAATCATGTGTGACGCAAGCTCTCTTACCTTGGCATGATCATACGAGAAATTTGTGATGGAAGTGATACCATCACTTCCACCTTCGGTGAATGAAAGCACTTGTTTTGTTTGCTTTGCTCCCCAATGGCCATCTTTCTTTGGAGGCAAGAAGTCAGGTGTCTCTTGTGCTGAGATGTGGCTCCGGTTGTACTCTTGGTGAAAAGCTCCTTGCAATGGTTGCACTTCACTTTGACCGTCCCATTATCTAGCTACTTCAGTCATTTCATCCCATATGCTGGATTTCTTCTTCCTTTGCTTTTTCTAAAAGGACCAGCTCCTCCATCTCCATCTCCTCCTTCATTGCCATCATCTTCTATTATTTCTATTTCTTCTTCACTCATCTCATCAGCTCTTTCTTCGTTGTAATTTAATTGTTCCACGTCTTCATTATTTTGCTCCATCGTAGGACTTGATGATGAACCTTGAAATGAGTTGAATGGAGAGCTGTACATTCCTTAATCAAAAACATTTAATAACCAATACAGATTTTGATTAGCCAAACAGAAATTTAGAATAACATTTCTAAGAAATAAGGTACAAAAGTAATAAAACAGATTCCAAGAAATAATGCCCACTTACATTCAGATTAATGAAATAACAGAGAAAAAATCTTAAAAACTCTTAAAATGGCAATCCAAACAAGGGACAGTGATGAATTCCAGGGAAATACTGAATCCATAGTTCCAATTAGTTTGTGCATGGGGACAGTGATGAAAGAAAGGACAGTATAGTGGCTTTTCCAATAAATTAAATACAAATAGTGTCATCTGAAGATGGTACACAATTCACATGCACTCCAGTGGTCTGACTATAGTCTATAGCCAACCATCTCGAATGAAACTCAACCAGATCATCAGAAATAGAAAAGCAAAGCAGTTTTTTACTAAACTAAGGAACAGGAAAAACAAAAGCTGAGCATGGGCAATGAAATAATCTGCCTGATTTATTTTCAGAGAGACAAATATTTGCCATAATTCATTTTTCAAATTGAAATGGGAAGTCAGTCTACTTCTTTTGATTGGAAAGCATAGTGAGTAAAATTGCACCTTATTAGGCTCTATATCCAAATTTCAAAGTCCACTTGTCAAATGATCTTTTGAATATTACATTGCAGCAATTAGATACATTTCAAACTACAGAAACCTGTTTGTATTGAAACAACTAGTTACCACTAATTACTTGGACAAAAATGTTTTACGCAATCTTGGTGTGCCTTTTTTGGTCAAACCATAGAAATTGGTTATTGGACAAAGAGGTAGCAAAACAAGTGCATTAATTGGAGCAAATTGTTCAAAATGAAAGTGTTTAATAGAATTTATCACGAGAGAATAGTTTAGTGTTTTGATGAACTTTATAATCATTAACATCTAAGACAAAAGGGTAGACCAAAAGCTTAAATGCATCACCATCCAAAAACAAAGGTATTGTAACACAACTTCTTCTAAGGGTGAACCTGAAAATTTTCAAATTCTCTGCCTAAAGTGCAACTGATCCAAATATAGGGGAGAACAAGAAACTTATTTCAAAAAAAAAAAAAGAAACTTATTTAATGTATGCCAAACTACAGTACATGCCAATTACATAATAATAGGTTTTGTCTTTCCATTGTGAACATGTGGAGGGTTTTGGAATTAGTCTAACAAACACCCTTTGGACCTCAATGGATGAGTTTCATGCCATGTCATGTATACGTGTATGCAGAATACAACATCTCACTATGAATTATCTGACAATACCTGTTGTTATCTGGCTGCAACTGCTTAATCTTTGTTTTCTTACAGGCTATATGCAGTGACACTGCTTAAATTTATGTTTAAATCCAAGTGGCACAAATGATCATGCCTAATTATAGACTCCAGAGCTTTAAATGTTTAACTGAAGACTTAATCTGACCCCATCACACCACTGAGTCCCTTACATCTATATTTCAACTTCACTACACCAAAATTTGACTCAGGAAGCCACACAACTCCAAATCAATATTCTCACCTGTACTCTGGGCAAGCAGAATAACAAAATCCAATAAGTGAAGAAGTGTAATATTGAACACTTTTGTGGAAGGAGATATGGTGGACAACAAAGTTGAACCAAAAAGGAACCGCCAAGAGAACTCAGCAATGTTCGATAAAGAGACTAACACTTCTTTAAATTTCTAATATAGATGAATTTTTTTTTCAGAAAACAGAGCATTGGTGATGTACAGAGAAACATGAGTTACATCATTCAGCAAAAGTCAGCAATGGAACACAAAACATTCCACTCAAACACGCATTTTACCACCTAAGATATCAACATTAAGTGTAAGTATGCAGTGAAAAACAAAGAAAGAATCGGGTCACTACTTACCAGAATGGATGGAATCAGGGTATGGTAGAGGCCCCTGGCTCTACCGAGGTGGCTCCGTGTGGTTGCTCCGTATGGTGAGTCAGTGACGGTGGCAAGAATCAGGTGAGCTACTGGCCAAGGAAGGAATTCAGTCGCTTGATTCAGTGGGCTGCTTTTGTCAGGAGGGTGCGGCTGCGGCTGCAGGTGTGGAACGGAAAACGAAATAGAGGAAATAGGGTGCGGCTACAGAATGGAGGATGGAGGCTGCGGGGTGGGGTGAGAATGGAGGCTGCGGTCAGTGCGGTGAGAATGGAGGATGGCACTTGGCGGTGAGAACTGAGAAGGGAGGCTGCGGGGAAGAGGGGTGAGAATGGAGGCTGGCGGTGAGAATGCAGAAAGGGGAAAAGAAAAAATTAGGAGAATGGAGGCTAGCCGTGAGAATGGAGGCTGCGGGGTGGGGTGAGAATGGAGGCTGCGGTCAGTGCGGTGAGAATGGAGGATGGCGCTTGGCAGTGAGAAGGGAGGCTGCGAGGAATGGGGTGGCGGTGCGGGTGCGGGGCGACGGCTCTGGCCTGTGGATGGGAAAATGAAATAGAGGAAATGAGGAATTAGGGCTACAGGCTACAGCAGACGGGAGATGACTTAGTGTACGGTGTACCACATACACGCTGAAATGACAAAAATGCCCCTATCGTTCGAGCCTACCGAGCCTATACGAGCCGAGCAGGATCGGCTCGTTAAATAAACGAGTACTCATTAGAGCTCGAGCTCGGCTCGTTTCTCTCTGTTAACGAGCCGAGCCGAGCCCTTATCGAGCCGGGTCGAGCTCGGCTCGCGAGCTGCCCGGTTCGATTAACAGCTCTAATCTTAGTCAAGCACATGTTTTGGATGGTAGTAACATCCCTAAGCTCACCATCCTAGATCTTTTCTATGCAGTAATATTTTCCCTGGCTATTTGGTCTTTCTCTAGTGGGCAGGTACTCTATTCTTCAACATTTTTCGAGGATGGTTCTCCCTCGAGTATGAGTAGCTAGCTTATTCTTAATATCCTCTTTGAACGGCCTCTCATTGATGTTGTTTAATGCCTTCACATCTTCAAATAGCTCTGTACGACTAGTCGCCTTAATGCCATATTTAGCCCAACCAATTCATGCTTAATTAGTACTTGTACTTCATAGTCACTAATGCAAGGAAACTTAATGGTCAAGATTAAACTTAAAACTGTGATACCGCAAAATGTCTTGCTCCAAATCCGCTATAAAAAAGGACGTAACACGTCTCATTTTCAAGATTCCCTAAACATACAAGGTATATTGCTTTAACTCTAAACCTTTAGAAAAATGAAGCAAATTTTAAACCTTGAAACTAATGATATAACATCCAAAGTAAACTTAAGAGAAGCATTTAAACTACTTGTTCTAGTGGCAAACCCACTCGGGCCCAACCTTTTACGTTATAAAGAAAACTCGATTATTAAGATAAATCACTAAGAAAAGAAACATAATTGCTCTTGAGGTCCTTGAATCCAATAATCACCTCAATCTTCACTTGGGATATCCTTAGTTCGTACTTATCTACTACAAAAATAATTAGTAATGTAGGGTGCGCAAAACAATTCATTCAACAAATACTCCCAACTATCTGTGTGGACCGATATGCATTACATATAACACATTTATCATTAAGTCATTTGTCAATTGTGCACAATCACAACACTCAGATATTGCTTGTAAATTAGAAATAACATCTTTTATATATTTAGTGAGTAATTAAAAGCCAATCGATTTGTAATAGTTGAACAAACCAATCATCATTCTTTAACATTAGGCCAAAACTGGGATGAGAGACCAAAATGGTAATGAAGCACATTGCCCCATTTTAAATGTAAAAACAAAAAATGATTGTTTACAAGGTATGAGGACTACTTTGGTGATTTTCCCTTATGACCGTTATGTTTCTCCAATTTTCATTAAGAGTCCTACATTGGTTATATTTGTCGAGATGATGGATTCAAGCGCATTAGTATGTAACTAATAATGCCATGGCCTTGGATTTTAATTTTGTACTTGTGAATTAAAATCATTAAGGAGGATTGATTTATATAGTAATTGGATTAGTAACTAAAGAGTGATCATATATATTTTGTTTGGGACACACCCAGACACAAAAAATATATATATGGATATGTATTAAAGTAAATTATCACCTTGTGGGTATGACCTCCAAAAGTTCACACATTCCGATGGTTTGGTAGATCAA